TGAGCACCTACGTACGATAACTTCGGTTTGGGGGTAATAATCGCCGCAGTCAAAGCCATTGCTGCTGGACATTCGCTTAGTCGGAGTACGTAAATCATAAGCATAAAACAGACTTCGACTCCGACTTCGCAATGCAAAGTGCACACGGAAAAAAATAATACATATGCTAAGTCTAAAGTGTATGTTACCATTTATTTGGAGACTTGACTGCTTCCCAGAAAATTGCAATTAAACTTATAAACATAATTGTATAAATAATAAATATATTATAAATTGTTAAAAAAATTGATTAAAATTGATTCTTCTGGTAAAAGGGGCTAGCAAAAAATGTTTTAAAATTACAAAAAATTTGTTAAATCAGTTTAATACAAAATTGTTCATCTTAAAAAATCTTATAAATTTGTCTCCTAATTATTTCAATATTTAAGAATATATATTTACATATTTTTTAAATACAAAATTTAGATCATAGATGGTTTATATTATATATATAGGTGGTTCTACTATAATTTGATATGTACGTTCAGATACAAGAATTTTCTCGTATTGTAGATTTATATTGTATTTTTTCCGGATGTTAGTTATACAGATGTAATGCAATTTCTAACATTTTTTCTCTGTGCCTGAGGAACTGCATTATGCATGTACATAACTTGGGAAACCAGCGGTCCCACTGTCGCTGTCGTTGCGTATGCACCACGCTAATTAGCTAAATCGCCCCAAGTGGCTCCGAGTGGCTCCATCTTTTCCAAGTTAATGAGAGTGAAAGGCGAGTTAAAATATATAAAAAGAAATATATACACATTTTTGCGACCAGCTCTAGGCAAATTAGCTGGGGATGAGTTGGAAATTCGAAACCGAGGCGGATGTTCGGATGTTGAGAACAGGTCTACTTCGTTTACGGCCAGCAATTATACGTGATTGCGCCCTGCGATTCTCATTGGGCGTTTGGCGTTAGTTGTCTATAAATTATGAGCTTAATGACGGTAGCGGTTTATGGAATCCCGGCTATTTGGATTTTGAGTGCTTTTCAACGCTTAGTTGAGTCACACACAGCAAGCTCCCATTAACCTTCCCATGCCCACTTGGGCATTATGAGATCACATGTGCTGATATCGGAAAGGAGAAACATTTGGCATTTTCGGCCACTTGGCTGCCACCAGAAACACAAACTGCAACCACTTGGTGGTGCAGCGGTGGTGCAGTTTGTTTGCCACCTCGCTGCCAGTTGACAGCCGTTTAATTTACGCTTTGTTTGTTTGTTTGTTTCTGTCTTTTGTTCGCGTCCTGAGGTGAATGTTTGATTTATCGCCCGATTATAAGCCGAAATGTCATAGATTTCTACTGCGTTCGATTCGGATTGGATTTGCTGGACTTTTCTCCCACAAGAAAACCACCAATCCATCGACTTATTAGTGTCCCTACTTCACTTTCAACAGGTGTCCTAGAAACTATAAGAAACTATAAACTCTCATCAGGAAAAAAAAGTTGACCCTAAAAATATAACTGGTAATAATATTTTGATATATGATAATACATTTTTATACCCTTGCAGAGGGTATTATAATTTCAGTCAAAAGTTTGCAACGCAGTAAAGGAGACATTTCCGACCCTATAAAGTATATATATTCTTGATCAGCATCACCAGGAGAGTCGATCTAGCCATGTCCGTCTGTCCGTCTGTCCGTCTGTCCGTCTGTCCGTCCGTCTGTCCGTCCGTCCGTCCGTTTCTACGCAAACTAGTCCCTCAGTTTTAAAGCTATCTGCTTGAAACTTTCCCAAAAGTTGTCTTTCTATTGCAGGTAGTATATAAGTCGGAACGAGCCGGATCGGTCGACTATATCATATAGCTGCCATATAACTGAACGATCGGAAAAGCCATAACTTTGGTGTTTTTAAAGTTAGGAAGTTGGGATTTTCTATGGGTTTTACTTTTGGCCTATCAATCCGACATACCAAATTTCATAAGGATCGGACGGCTATATCCTATAGCCGCCATATAACTGATTTATCGGAAGTGCCATAACTTTGGTGTTTGTAAAGTTAAGAAGTTGGGATTTTCTATGGGTTTTACTTTTGGCCAATCAATCCGACATACCAAATTTCATAAGGATCGGCCGACTATATCTTATAGCTGCCATATAACTGAACGTTTGGAAATGCCATAACTTTGGTGTTTTTAAAATTAGGAAGTTGGGACTTTTTATGAGTATTAAGAATGCATCAAATGAATAATTTTGAAGAATATAATTTACAGAATATTCTGCAAGGGTATATTAACTTCGGCTGCGTCCGAAGTTAGCTTTCCTTTCTTGTTCATAATAATTGAAACAAATTTTATTGAATAAGATATTTTTAATTAAAAATAGTTAAACAAAAGAAATTAAAAACCATTGTGTTTTACTATTACGAAAATTTGGTTTATATTTCAATCACACCAATTTAAGACCAATTCCCCTAAAGATTTTTAGATATTTTTAATGAAGCAAATGTCAAAGATAATCCACACAAATAGCAACCGTAATTTTCGTTGAATATGTAGTTTTTGCCATTATCTCCGAACAGCGGACAACGTGTCGTATGAGTAACATGATTTTAATTAAGCAAACAAAAGATATCGAACTCGTGTGTAACCCCTCAACCATTTCCCCTTGCAGGTGGTCGCCCGCAGCCTTGGTGGTGTCGCAATAACCGAAACGGTGGCCAGAATCGTTCGCCCATCTCGATCAAGCACTCGGCGGACAGCATCCGGCGGCCCACGAGCAACTCCGGCGTTTGGACCTGGCTGGGCGGCAGCCGTCGCTCGTCCGCCGGTCCTGACCAGATCGGACCGCCGTCCACGTCGCCTGCGGAGAACCACTATACCCACATGGACGATGCCTACAGTCCGGTGGGCGTAAGCGAGGCACTCTACGCGGAACTGGATCGCGAATCCGTGCGCTCTGCCAACCCCTCGTACCAGAATACGGCCTACAGTCAGTGCGGCGAGGTGAGTAATCAGCATACACCTAAATGCTACAAAAATATTACTATTATAAAAATAAATGCAAATAATAAATACTTACGTATTTACGCATGATTACAATCTACTTATAAATTCATTCATGAAGAAACTTCCTACCCTAAAGAGCACATAACTAACACTGTGATACGCCACAAATTTTCATTAAAAGAATATACAGTTTATGGTTCAAAAATTATTGAATGCATTTTTTCATTTTCTAAAAACGCAGACATGGTGAAACATTTTCATGGCCATCTACATCGAAAGCCATTAAAAAGTATACTTTTATTTATATAGATAAATAACAGATATAAATAGATAAATGTTCAGATTGGTGATCTGTACACTGATAAGCACCTTTAAAATGTTATTTTTTTTTACATATAAACAAATAAAGGTAGCATTTGTAACACACTGTCATAAACCTAAAATTTCAAATTTAAGTTGAACAACAAACTATACTATACAAGTTATCTTTTCATGTTTTAAATTTGTTTATATATATTAAAACATATAAGCTAAACAATTTAGAATAATGATAAATCTGCGAAATAAATTTCTTATACTTTCATATTTTTTTTTTAAATTGAACTACTTTTCTGCTTATATCCTTAAGTAAAATCTAGAGTCCCAAACTTATTCTTAAATCTGCCTACTCTCTCCATTGCAGAAATACAATTACCAGGGCCACGAACAGGACATTCCCATGGTGGTCTCCTCCGCGCCGAGCAGTGCCTACTACTCGGATCTGTCGGTGACGGCGATGCCCGGCGGAGCGAGCGGCAGTAATCAGGGCGCCTACGAGATCGTCGGACTGAACGTGATGTCCCAGCCGCTGCCCAACTGGGATCATCATGGAGGAGGAGGCGGAGGCGGTGGGGCCGCAGGAGCAGCGGCCGCCATACTTGGAGCGGGCGGTGGTGGCAATGGAATAACGGCCGGCGAGGCGGCGGCGATGACGCAACGACGAGGTCCTCGATTGGCGGCCATCAACGAGACCAGCACCAGCACTGTGCCCTCGGACTATGTCTAAATTATGAAGTTTAAATACAAATAATGTGAAATGTTCAGCGAGCTTAACATGTTAATAGGATATAGACATACGTTATATACACCCCATAGTTGTAGGGTTAAATTTACATTATATTTAACACTTGTATACCACTTAGTGCTTATGGTTTATGTCTGAATTGTAATCTGTACACGTTACCGATATAGGGATATATTTATACACACTTACAAGGCGAGAATGTATTATATGTCTAGTTTTTATATAGTCTCTAAGCAACGATTTAATCGTGGGTGATATTTAGCCTAAAAATATGCTATATTCTTATGTTCTATGTACTTTAAACATTTTCTAAAAATGTAAAAACGACAACAAGCGCATTTTTCGTAGGCTAAGTGAAGATGAGAAAGGACAAGAAATCGTATTTCCCCCCAGGAACAGTACACGCAAATATAGAAACGATATATACATACGAATACAACATATTTATACACTCATATTTACAAAAGCCGAAAACGCATTAAGCTCACCAATATATAAATACCTATATATCTATAACAATATCTGAGGAATCATATTTACAACGATTTTAACGCAACAGATTTCACCATATTTACCGGGGGAAATTATCGTGGCACGTCATATCATTTACCACACCATTACACATATGTATGCATAGCTATCTATATACTATACCATATACAATAAACAGACTCACGACCCTTAGCAGATGTACTTTAGTTCATAGTAGCTCTCGGCGAGATGCAAATCCATGCCTAATTAATTTAATAACACGCAAGAAAACACACACACAATTCCTGTACATTATTGTTTTAGTTGAAAATATAATTAAACAATTTATTGCTATTTACATTCTGAATCCCAACCGGAAGTTGTGTTCTTTATTGGAGGAAATTTATGGGCTTAAGAAGCGTTCAGTAAGTACTATTAAGCTGCGGTAACAGTTCAATATTTAGCTCTCGAATTAAAATGAATATAAATTAATCAACGAAAAATATATTTTTGTAATAAATAATATGGCTTCCTATCAACACTTAGGAAACTAACCCGTTTTTTCTCTTAAACTATGATATATTATGGAAATGTTTATAGATACATTTTGTGAACTATGAGATATCTTCAGTTTGCTCAATTAAACATAAGTTGGAGAGATGATTACTTCTATGATCTTTTTGGAGTGTTTTGTATAGATTAAATTGACTAAAATATGTTGCAAATTGAAGCTACATCATTTGAAAAGCTTAGCTTATTGACCCCATCCTAGTAACTTTAAGGATGGTATAAACTGGTTGCTGTTCCTTCTCAAGTTCGTGGACTTTGCGGTGGGTACGCAAAGCAGAGGGCTGAATAAATCTCTTGCCACACTCGTGACATTCAAAGTTCTTCTCGCCTGTGTGGGTCATCTCGTGGTATTTCCGCGTATCCGAGGTGGCAAATTTCTTTTCGCAGTAGTTGCAGGCGTAATCACGTGCCTTTTCGTGAATCGCGCGAATATGCTTCTTAAGACTAGTCGAACTGTTGCAAACTTTTGGACAATCTTTGCAGGACCAGGTTCTCTCCAGCGTATGGAAGTTAATGTGTAGTCGCAGTTCATTTTTCGTAGTCTTCTTGAGTCCACAATAAGGACAGCTATAGTTCTTTATACCCTGGTGGCGCATCATGTGGATCTTAAGCTTCTCTTTGCTGTAGAATCGACAAGTGCAGTCCGGCATTTCACAGGCATAGGGCAATTGCATTTGGTCGTTGTGCGTAAACCGATGTTGACTCAAGGCGGATAGATTTTTGAACACCCGGCCGCAGAATTCGCACATATGGGTCTTTAAAGGTTTGCCAATTGCATGAGCCTTGCTCTGATGATGTTTAAGTGAAGCTTTATGCCGGTACATCCTGTTGCAGCCCTCCTCCTGGCAGATGAACCGCGTGCCCACCTTCGAGTGCTCCAGTTCATGCTGTCTGAGATCCTCAAATCGGTTAAAGGCTTTCTCGCATCCAGGCTCAGAGCAATGATACAGCATGTGGCCTTCGTGCTCTTTCTTGTGCAGGATCAGGCGCCGTTCCTCTATAAACTCGTCGGAGCAAATCTCGCACCTGAATTTGGGCAGTGGGAGTTCCTAAAATGAGGGTAAAATTTAAAAACATTAAATTTATTATAAGCACGAGACTCTTCAACATTGAATGAACTCTATTAAAGTGCAACTGATTACAGAAAATTAAAAATAAAAAAAACTTAAACATAAATTTGTGTTAAAATCAGGCATTATTAACATACTTTTACGACCAATTATTTAATTTATTATTATTATTTTTATTCTTTTTATAAAACTATTAAAGTCCGTGTGAATAAAAGGTGATTGTTTTTAATTTAAATGGTGTCATATTAAGAGGAATATATGTCTACTTAATATAAAAAAAACCTCTACAAATCCAATACATCAACTCACTTTTTGAGATTTTTTTTCCGGTTGAGGTTTTGGTTGTTTCTTCACTTTTCTTGCGACAGTTTTCCTCTTCAATTTTAGGGGTGACTTTTCGGGACTCATGTTGGAATCGCAAATGATTAACTCCGGCTCTTCCAAAGGATGTTGGATTTCCTTTTCCCACTCTTCTTCCTGCTCCTTTTCCTGCGCCTCTTCCGGCTCCTTATCCCGCTCCTCTTGACCCTTCTCTTCCAGATTCTCTTGACGCTCCTCTCCCAGCTCCTCATCCCGCTCCTTTTCACGCTCCTCTTCCAGCTCCACTTCCAGCTCCTTTTGATGCTCCTCTTCCAGCTCCACTTCCAGCTCCTCTTGATCCTCCTCTTCCAGTTTATCTTCCCGCCCCTCTTCGATTTCCTCCACCTCGAGAAAGCGGTTACTCCTGTCTATTTTCCTTTTGGTAACCAGGCTATTGGAGCGCCATTTCTTATCGGCTATAATGCATAATGCTCGGAAGGAGTGGAACTTCTCGAGCATCTCGTAACATTCGGCACATATTTCGCTGGGCAAAATATCTTGCTCCTCAGGATCCACTTTCAAAGCGGTGCATTCAGTAAACTTGACTGCCAGGTTTTGTTCTTCAAGCAGGTTGTATGCCTCGTCGTCGCTGGCCACTCCGCAGGAGCAAATGCGGCACCTGTCCAGGTGACCCATTACTTGTATTACATTAAACAAATTAAAGTTCACAAGCAATAAAATCCAGGGGAGTCGTGCTTCTTCTTCTCTGTATATTTGTATACATTTGGTGTTTTACAACACTCACAGTTGATAAGACTGGAAGAGATATCGTTGATAGGGATGACCAAAGGGAAACTGTGACTAAAATAAGTGACAAGGAGGGATGATCAAAATTACTTATTAAGTCACAAATAGTCTTTACTTATAAATTAAACTTTTTTACTTATAAAAGAATATAAGGAATTAAAAGAAACAAATAAAACTTGTAGCGGTGACTCAATCCACGGCGTGACTCACACGTGACCCATCCCTAATACATCTGTTGGGTCACATCTCTAATGGGGGGCGTATAAAAAGTTGCTTTGCAGTTTGTTGTTAACTATTTTTTAGCAAAACAATGGATAATCCCAATGGAATCCACTATATTGAGCTTTCCCCAAATCCCATACGGTTCGATGCTGTGAGTCAGCTAACAAATGTGTTTTTTGATGACTCCAATAAGCAGGTAAAGCCAAAAAAAGTTACCAAATCAAATTAAGACGTGCTAAAACTAAATTTCTATCTTTCAGATATTTGCTGTTCGATCTGGAGGAGCTACTGGTGTGGTGGTTAAAGGTCCCGGTTCCACCGATGATACTGTGATCTCATTTTGCATGAGCGATCGCGGTGGCGCAATCCGTTCCATCAAATTCTCGCCGGACAATCAGATCCTGGCCGTTCAGCGAAAAGAAAATGCCGTGGAGTTCATATGTTTTCAGGGGGACCAGCCTCTGCTGCAGGAGATCATCACCCACCAGGTGAAGAATATGATCCATGGCTTCGTTTGGGTCCACAATCGGGAGGTGGCCCTGATCTCGAATACGGGTGTGGAGGTATATACTGTGGTGCCGGAGAAACGGCAAGTGCGCTCTGTGAAATCTCTGAGCATCGGTATCAAGTGGTTCGCCTGGTGCTGCGATGCCAATGTGGCTCTGCTTTGTACCAGCGAGGGAAACTCCCTCATCCCGGTACTGGTCAAGCAGAAGGTCATCACCAAGCTGCCCAAAGTGGACTGTAAGTAGAGCAATGTTTAAGTTATGCACCCTATGTAACCCCCAATATATCCTATTTCAGTGGGCAGCCCAAGTCGCGACGTGCAGGAGAGCAAAGTAACCTTAGGTCAAGTATACGGCGTGCTGGCGGTGCTCATCTTGCAGTCAAATAGCAGCTCTGGACAAATGGAGGTAGAAGTTCACCTACTTAATGGACCAGGTTTGGCTCCTCGCCTGTGCCATGTACTTCGCCTAAGCTTAGTGGGTCGCTTTGCCATCAACACGGTGGATAATCTGATTGTGGTGCACCATCAAGCCTCAGGCACCTCGTTGCTTTTCGACATCTCACTCCCCGGAGAGGTGATCAATGAAATAACCCACCATACTCCCATAACTCCAGGTCGCTCGATCAAACCATTTGGCTTGAAACTGCCTTCTCTATCGCCCGATGGACAAATCTTGCCGTGCGAGTTGTGTAAGATTACAAGAACCCAAAAAATTCCTTAATTTGATCATTAATTCCTTGCAGATTCCACCCATTGGGTGCTTTTCCAGCCAAACATTGTCATAGATGCCAAATTGGGTTGTATGTGGTTCCTGAACCTTTGTATTGAACCCCTGTCCCAACTGATTTCGGATCGCATTCGACTCACGGAGTTTTTGCTGCAGCGCAGCAGTGGGAAACAGGTGCTATTAAAAGTTGTGAGTCAGCTAGTGGACGATCAGTATAAAGGAAGTCTGCTGCCAGTTCTGGAGACCATCTTCAGCAGAATTAACAAGATATATGCGTAAGAAATAGATAATAATACTACCAAAAGCATCAACGGCTTATTGAATTGTGTATTCCAGCTCGTGGGTGCAGTTAGAATTGCATAACCAAACAGCACAGCCCTCTAATGTAAAGACTACTACCCTGAAACAAAGCACACCGCCCATTGTCCTCATTGAGCAACTGGATATGGTGCAGATCTTTCAGCGCGTTTCGCGTCGACCGTATACTGAATCCATCCTGATGCTTTACTTGCAATCCCTGAACAAGTTCAACATTGCAGCCCAAGAGGAGCTCAGCAAGATGATCATCAGTGAACTGATCAACAATCGCAGCTTCGACACCTTGCGGCGTTTGGTCAGTTATTCAATGCTACTGGAGTCGAAATCGGTGGCTTGCTTTTTGTTATCCCATTCGGATGTGGATTCGGCAATTTCTCAAGTGGCCATCGATATGCTGGGAAAAATTCAGGCTCATGAGGTGCGTATTTTTAAATCAATCAATCAATATTTACAGAGATGTCGTTATTCTTTGAACATTTTTCAGATTATTATTGAAGTCATGCTGGGACAAGGAAAGGTAATCGATGCATTGAGACTGGCCAAAAACTCTTTGGGCTTGGATAAAGTGCCAGCTAGGAAGTTCTTGGAAGCGGCTTATAAGACAAAAGATGATCTCATCTTTCACAGCGTTTTCAGATTCTTTCAAATGAGAAACCTGAAACTTTATGAGACTTTGTCTTTTCCCAAGGGTGAGCATTTTTGAGCATTTCATTTTGTAAAGCAATTTTTTAAACCTTTTTTATTTTTATAGCTGAACAATGCACGGAGTTTATACAGCATTATAATAATACTTTTCCTGTTGATAACCCTTCAAGACCACCTATATGCTGAAGGCACCTATTTAAGTAATTTGTTATTATTGTAATTCAAAAGTGTGCTTGAAAGTATTAATATACTTATATTTTGTATTGTAAATAGTTCGGTCAATATACCATCATAAATATATATTTTATACGAAAATAAAAAAATAACTTTGCGTTTCAAGTCCCACTTCGTTTAAATCACTCAAAAATAATAATATGTATTTTAATGGAAATCTTTTAGTTAAAAATCCCTTTATAATCTCCCAATAAAATATAGATTTAACATGCAATTGCTTTACTTACACTTACAATACACAGAGTTGTACAATAAATACATAGAGGAATAAATGGAATATACAAAAAGCAAGAATCCAACTACGAGAATCGCCTAGGCGGTGCCTTTAGCTGCAACGCTCCCATTTCCAGGGAGGAGGAAATGCTTATTAGATTTTTATTTGGGTGTGGCAATTTCAGTGTTTGGTCTGGAATCGCCGACACGCAGCGTGGACATTTTTCAAACTGAGTCTCCGCCTCCTCCATGCATTCCTCGTGCAAGCCGTGACCACATCCGCCCAATATTAGCACCTGGCTGTGATCGTAAAGCCTTTGACGGCACACGGAGCACTTGGTAGTCGTCACCCAGAGGCCACGGCGCGCCTGTTGATATCGCTCCGCAAATGTGTGGTGCAAATTTTGGCACATAAACTCAATACCATTCCGTAAAGCTTCCGTTTGATGCCTCGAACTATCTAGCATGCCCATCAGCAGGTCCTTAATATCACCAAAGCTACTTGACACATTGTGGGTATTCATAATCAATTGAACCAAGTTATGTAGATCAATATGCTGCGAGGCCTCGTGCAGAATGGATTTGGTGACGGACTGCATTTCCTGATGGGGCAGAATGTATTGCAAGAGGACAAACCAACAGCGCTCTAGTTCCTGAGCGGGTAAAGTTTGAGTAGACCTAGCCAAAAGAGACACTATAATCCGAGCCTCCATGGCTCCTTCTTCGCCCGACATAGTCTTCAAAAGATCCATTGATAACTCAAAGGCTTTCGTGTAGCTCTCCTGCATTTCATACAGATAAATCACAGCTCGGTTTAGATGATGGCTTTCGACAATGGCAATGGCCTGCTCCAACCGATAACCGGAATTGGAGCAAAGGAATTCCTGAACAGTAGAGGCCGAATCCAATTTACAATGCAGCTCCAGTAGCAACTCCAATTGACTGGCCTCCAGTTTGGTTCTTCGATCGTTGAGGCACTTGAGAAACACATACAGCAAAGCCTCCTCCTTCCTCAAATCATCCAATAGTTCATAGATCTTTTCAGGGTAATGCAGGGCCAGCAAGCGAGTAGTTTCCTTGGCATTGATAGTTAGTAACTCCCTCAAATGCCTCTTCAACTGCCCGTAAATGCATCTCTTTGGAGTGATCACATGACGCTCCATATAGGCAAACATAGTCTCATGTCTGGCTTCGTTTCGGATATAGCAATCCAGGATGGTATCGTACCGCTGAAGCTTCTCCAGCAGATACTCCACCACACAATAGCACCTCGCCCTCTGCGCTAAGCTCAACTGCTCCTCATCGCTGCTGATCTCGGCCAGACAGTTGGAGGATAGTAGCTCGTGCCAGGCATTCTCCCGCTCCGAGTGTTGCCGACTGCTCTCGTTGGCAATCTCCTCCTGCGCAAGATGACTCAAGACACGTTCCAAAAGCTGTCTGTCCCTCGGCAGGCACTGCATCGAAATCTGCTGAGCAATGAAGTTCAGCAGGCAGCCAATCTCCGCCCACTGGAAATAAAAGGGAATATGTGATACGTTCTTTGTCGAAAAAATATGCTAAATCTTACCGTTGCATTCTCGGGCGTCATGATCTCTAGCAGCAGATTGATAATCCTCTTGCGATGTGAGAGTCCCAGCTCGTTACTAAACTCTTGTTCCTGAAACGCCAGCGATATCACATTCAGCGTTTCCCGCGTGTCAAACTTGAGGAGGGCTCTAAGATACGGATAGGGCAGTTCATCTCCGGCATTTTCTTTGGATTGCTGGGAGGTCAAACAACGCAGGACGTCGTGCTTCACCTGATGCACCAACTCCACGGGAATTTCTCCGCTAGGATATCCCCTTCCTGCCAGACAACTGGATACATAGACCAGCAGGCAATTGCCCAAATCCGTTTCCTCGGGAGTCACCAAAGGCAGAAGTTCCGTCAGCGCCGCCGTATAATCATTCAAAGCCTGGGTGTTGAGGTAGATTTGAGCTCTGTACAAGCGATGCTTTTTTACAGCCTTCAGCACTTGATTTAGATCCAGGCACATCCAATCCAGCTTCAGGATGAGTTGTTCCAGCTTGGCAGGCGAATGTTCCAACCAGTAATCAACCAAAGCTTGGGAGATCACGGGATTAACACTGTGGATCGTTTCCCGCTCGATGTGCTCTGAAATGTGTTGCAGGAATAGTTCCAAGCTGCTGTTGTGCAACTTCTCCCATAGCTGCGTCCAAAGAAGATCGAGTTCGCCCACGGTTATCAGGCAGTTGACGATGGCTCCGAGGCAATAGTCGGGTGCACGGGCGGAATTTGCTATGTACTCTTTAAAGAGCATGATGATACGCTCTTTGGCTTGGGCACGTTTTCGTGGTCGATCCACGGAGGCGATGTAGCCATCTAAGGCTAGTTGACAGGCTTCCTGCCAACGATGGTGTTTTACCTGCAAAGCAAAGGAGTAAGATAAAGGTATTTTTTATATTTCTTACTTATGGTCTTACCAGGTAGCTTATCCTCTCCGACCATGTCCTGACTCCAATAATATGCAGGGATCTTGCTCCCAGTACATACAGCTGCGTTCCTCTTGAAACCACAGAGTTGTAACAAGCATTGGTGCCAGCCAAAGCGAAGGCAGGCGATACATTTCCACCTGTTGCTAGACCTTTAAACTGCGCCGAGCCGTAAACTAATCCAGCGTTGGCCATGTCCATACACTCCAGTTCCTTGCTGGATCTCACATCCACCAGATGAAGGATTTCCGCCGTATCCAACGAGGCAACACACTTGGGACCCAGCCAGTGGGCAGACAGCAGACTTCCCTGCAGCTGCACATGTCGTAGATACAAAAGAGTGATCCTTCCATTCGAAACAAAGAGTTGGTGAAAGAACAACTGGTTGCCGCGGCCAACAACAATCACGGGATCCACGGAACGGGTGGTGTCTGCCGCTTGAATGAGGACTAAGTGCCAGGCGAGAAGGGGCAGGCAATCCGGAGGTCCCTGGAGCACATGATATTTGATGACCCTCAATCTTGGTCGCACTGTGACTATAAAATACTTGGACAAAGTGGCCAGGGCAACAATGCAGTACTGATCGAGTTCATGGCGACCTTGGGCATCCATAATCAGAGGTTCCACGGCACAGACTTCCCCGCGAGCGCCGGAGAAAAGGCATCTTGACTGGCACCCACGGATGCCCAGTTTCCGGGTGAAATTAAGCGACCACACAGATCCGCCAGCATCAGCACAAAGAGCCAGCGAGGATCTAGAAGTCCACTTGACGTGTAGGACTCCAGTATTCGGGGTTATCACATCGAACAGCTCCCGGAGGACATCGCCCGTGTGCGTGTCCAGCATGGCAACCAATCCTCTGGAGTAGCCGGCCAAAAGCCGGGTGGAATCTGCATTGAAGGCCAAACTGGCCACTGCACCCTGGCCATGTTTGTCCTGATGGGCCCACCTTAAAGTTTGGGTGACATCGAAGTTAAGGATGTGTCCGTGGGACGTTCCAACGGCTATGAAAGCGGCCACGGCACAGGAACTTGCCGCTCCGGCGTTTACACGCTCTGCGGCGGAGGAAAGTTGCGCGGAAATGCCATGGAGGAGGGTATACCTCATGATGGAGCCACCGCCTCCCCTGCCATCCGTTCGTATCGTGGAATCCTCGCCAATCGAAGGAGTGGGCGTCGCATGAGGCACCGGCATTCCCAATTCGGAGGCCACATCCGAGTCCGCCTCGAATTCACTGAGCACCGCCTCCAAAGTGGGGAGCACATCGGTGGGTGGTATGGCAAACTCAGCATCATCCAGCTTTAATCGGATGGATCACCGGAAATCGTTAGATTAACCATTTTCTTTGCAGAAAATCCAACTTACATCTTCGAAGTCCAGCTGCAGGGATTCGGCCAGCAAACTGTCCGTGGAACCCCGCTCCGATTCCAGCAGCGATTGCAGCGACGGCGCCTTCAGCTCCGACATGCTCCCAGTTCTTTCGATCGTTATCCCTCCCCCCAAACTTATAATTTTAAACGATTTTGTTTTTATCAATGAGTTTTTACGCCCATCAAAGGCTAGTGTTGGTAAACTACCAAAACAAAAAGACTGTCCACTCCTTTTCTAAGAAACTTTAAGTATGTTATCGGTTTTGCCTATCGATGTTTTGAGCGTGGACATATAAATAATTGCGATATGTGCACCGAAAAATTATTTTTGAACCATAAAATAATTAAAACATATATCTAAATAATTTTGGTTTTGTCTTTGTTGGCAGTTTAATTAACAGACAACACAAAATACAGGCGGCAAAGAAGTGGCAGCAAAATCAAAACGATCAGCTGTTGCAAACTCGATTTATAGATCAATAAGTAAACAATTATCGAATAAAACCAAATAAGGCCAGGAAACAAGAGCAATAACAGAGGATTGGCCTGTTGGAAAAAGTGGTTTCCTAACATGGTTGAAAGCTTGGATAAATTTATGGTATATATGAAAATTTTATAAAAAGTATTTCCTTAAGAGCTCGGTGGTATTTTTGACTTTTCCGCGGTTATGTTTTCTTTTGCAATAACGGTCACACAGTTTTTTTGTTTTCATCGCATTTGGTGGTCGGCAGCGGACGATTTTTTGCTGCTCGCGAGGCCAGCATATTAATTAAAATGCAATAAAATGTTCTCAAACCAATTCGGTTGATAGCGCGAACCACAACATAGCACCGCGCGATAGGTCTATAATCGGATTTCCTCATCTGCGAGTTGCGAAAGCCAGAGTTCGGAAGCCAAAAACAAAACGCGAGTGGAAATTTCGATTTTTGTATTGTTTGTTGCCATGCATGAAACGCTTGTGCAAAATGGGCATCAGTAGACTTTACCGATGATGAGTATTGGCGATGTATTTAGGCGAGAAATATAATTAATTTATTTGTTTATTTGAGCGTGCAGCGGCTTGCCAAATTCGTCGCTCTCTTTCTGCTGTTTCGACTCTCTTCTTTACGCGCCTTTCATTCAGTCGCGCTCGTGTGTGTGGGTGTGCGTGTACGAGTGACGTAAACAAATGCACAAAAGCGAAAGAGTGCAAGAATTTGAAAAATGCGATTGTAGATTCACGTGCCAAAAAATAAAAGAAAACAAAAGAAAAGAGGGCAACGAAAACAACTCAAGCAGCAACAAATTGACAACAGTATATTGTTTTCGGATCTCTGTTTTGTGCCCCGTATTCGTTGCATTTTCCTGGCTCAGCTGTGCAATTTCGCCTTGGTGTTAGTGAGCGCAACACGTTTGTGTGCGAGTGGGAGAGAGCGAGCGAGTGAGCGAGAGAGAGTGTAACTCCTCTGCCAGCGTCGCTGCCTCAGTCGGCGTCGGCAGCGTGCGTCATTGATGCGACAGGTAAGAAGAAGCAGCCACCAAAATATGCCCAATTTTCCAAATTACCATAGTTAATTACTCTACGCAATCCGCCTCGTGTAGACAAATATGAACTTAGCAATTAGGCGGAAAGGCGGCACCTTTGCAGGTTATTTTCCCAACAAACTCATGCAGCTTCGATTACGTTTTTCGAGATAAGAAAAACGAGTTGAGCGGCACGTTAATGAAGCTTGCAGAGCATTCTTGCACACACTGCGGCTCCTCCCTCTCTGCTCTTCTCTTTCTGGCCCCGCCCGTCGCCTCCTCCCCCGTCCATCACTCGCTTGTGGCCCCAACTTGTCGATCGGAAATCGCTGGACATTGCGAGCAAGTCGCCAGTCGCCCGTCGCGCTAGTTTTTCCACATTTGTCATACCCTAACTGTCGGGAAGGAGTTACCTGGATTTCTGGTTAAGAAGGTTCAAAGTCCTTTATTTGCAGGGCATACAAAATAAAAGGTTTATTTAACGATTTGAACGGGTTGAAACATTATTTGGTAAGAAGTTAGCTGAATTTCTTGAGAAAAATGTTAATACAAAGGTCAATAATTAAAATAAAACCATTCACTGTATTATTTTTCTAACTGACTACAAATTCGGTTAAGATTTCCATACACATAATATTATGCTTGATCTTAAAACAGAACTAGTTTTTCTAATTATGATATGTTAAATGAAACTTTCCAACAATGACTTCAAATATTTATGGAGGATCGGTAACAATGCTTTATATAAACCTTAAATCTTAAATCAATTTCCGAGTTGGTGATAATTTGTTTTGAAAGTTATTGTTTAATCTTAAAATCGCTGTAGTTATTGCACATTTTCATTTTATAAATAACTAATGATGCACTAACTTAGCTACCCATAATTGAAATTTCAGACAGGTAGCCCAGAACCTGTCTGAAATTCAAAGATGGGTAAAATTTTCGAAACAAAAAAAAAATAAAAGAAAATTAATTCACAATTTGTTCATATTTCATATTAAAATCACTAATATAAGTACTGGCGCCCTTTCTGAACTCTTAAACATCGTGTCAGACATTCCCAATTATTACTTGATAAGGTGTTTTTTATAAGGCACAATAATCGTTAAATGCTTTAGACATTTCAGAACTTTGTGCTTTCACAATTATCTGTGAAATCTCTCTACATTTTAATTGTTATTTAAACGTTTGAAAGGTGTCATTGAATGACTTGGGATTTTATTACAAAAATAAAAATATAGTTCACCCAAATTTCGTGATAATGTTAATTGCGATAATTTGTTATCAACATAGTCAAAGTAAAATGAAGACTGTTGCCAAGAAACATTGATTTAAGATTATATTTTAATTTTTCATTACACGATCATCATATATTCACATTATGCTTTTATTTGAATGGGTAAACCTTGGAATATTTTGAAAGCAATTGAAATTTTATAGTAATTTCGTTGAACGTCTTGATTGTGTTCTTGAACTGGTCAAGACCCAAATAAGTATTGTTGAGAGAGCATTCCATATTTGTTTGGCCTGTGCCTCCTCTAGTCCCCTAATCGTTCTTGTTTATTATTGTTGACCATGCGCTTTTTGTTCCTTTTTCTCGTCTGGTCTTTTATTTTCTTCTCGCTCTGTGTGTTTTTCGTTCATGGTCACAGAATTTATTGGTCAACATTTTATCTTGGCCCCGGCACCCACGTCGACTCCTTTCCCAGCTTGCAACTTGTTTGCTTCTCGTTCCACCTATTTTTCGTCTTTTCTTGGCCATTCTCTCGCCGGCCGCCCACATGGAAATTTGACGCTTCAACACGTTCAGATTTTTCCCCAAAATAAAATATACGGAAAAACTCGAGAGCGCAGCGCTCAAAACAAATATTTTCAAGATAAGTTATGGGTTCCGTTCTCCAGCTATGAAAAGTTTAATGGGAAATATCTTAATTTTTATAAACTTGGCGGCGCACATAAATTATCGGTGCGGAATTCTTCTCGCGGCTTTCATGGTTTTTCGTTTTTTTTTCCCCGGTGGCTTATTGTTTGTCTTGCGCATACTTTTCGTGACTTTCCGCTTTTGTTTATCTTGAGGCAATGTTTATCTTGATGCCTCTCAGATATTTTCGGGTGCAGCCCCGCCCCTTCCTTTCCACTTTGGGTCTATAGAGCATATAGCATATAGCCACATCCAGCAAATTGGCAATTGCAGCTGCTGGTGCATAACTCAGCAGGCCCATCAGGCATTAACCCTTTGTTGCCCACATGATAAACGATAGCTTGTTAATAAATCACAAGCCAAACGTGTGTGAGCTTCTGTGCAGGTCCTGGGCTCATATGTATGTCCTGGGTGGTCAGGACATGCAGAAAAAGTAGTAACAAGGTTGTATGGTTACTTGTATTCACTGGAACAAAATGTAGATGAACATATAGATTGGGATATTTGATATCTCCATTTTTCCCTACGAGGTTTTTATTTGGAATAATGATTTTATTTTTATAATAATGTTTCCAATGAAACAGAAAATGAGGTGCACAATATTTTAAACTCTTTTAAAGCCTTTAAAAGTAAAAAAAAAAATATAACATGTGGCAATTTTCACTTGATGTACAAATAATAATTTCAAATAAATAAATTTGACATTGAACTGCAGCTTTGAATTATTAAATAACTAATTCAAAATTGAAAACTTTTTAGGATTTATCGTTTTATTTATTAGATTTGCATTTAAATTAAAAATGTATTGTTTGGTATTAAAAAATAAATACTCATAATATCCTAACACATGTAATGTATTTTAATATGCTTTGCATTATAATAAACATTTTTGGTACCTATCAATGTCATCATGAAACTATAGAATAATAATAATTTTAAAACATCTCAAACATCACTTCTTTCTGTGTGCTCCTGTGCAGCATCCCCTGGTTGTATGCAACATGATTGGCTCTGCTCTCAGCACGGGATACTCGTATTTCATATGCCTTTGGTAGATTTATGAAGTGCCGGACTGAGTCCCGGGCCGAGTCCTTAGCTGAGTCCTTTGCCTCGGCTGCCTTTGGCATTCTAATAATTTTTTATTGTTGTCGTTTAAGTGGCCCTTTGTACAGCTGGCAACATATTGTGTGCTTGCTGCAACATCGTCCTGCCACTTGATAGCAGTAGGTGCTTTTCATCGGCCCATCCTTCATCCTTTTTGTTTGATTTCGACTTTTGCCATAAAACCAGTTGTCCAATTCTGCATTCTTGGCCTGCAACTCGAGTGCTTCGAGTGACTCTCTGATAGAATACGTTTATAATTAGACGTTTTGATTAGTTGATTTTTGAATGAGAAACCGGAAGAACAGCTTTTGGGGCAAAGCCTTGACGAGCGAGTGATTATTATCAATAATTTTAGTTAATTAAACTCGAGTGAGGAATTTATCTGGCACTTGAGTTTCCTTTAAATATAAACTTGGTGCTGTTAGCTGTGTAGAGATGCGTACATCTGTCTTCACATAAATGCTTTATCTCTAATTATTTTCGACACCTTAAAAGGTATTTAATTTTTATACCCTTTTTTAATTTAAAAGTGTGCAACGCAGTGAAGGAGACATCTCCGACCCTATAAAGTATATATATTCTTGATCAGGATCACCTCCTGAGTTGATATAGCCATGTCCGTCTGTCCGTCTGTCCGTCTGTCCGTCTGTCTGACCGTCTGTCCGTCTGTCCGTCTGTCCGTCTGTCTGTTTCTACGCAAACTAGTCTCTCAGTTTTAAAGCTATCGAGTTGAAACTTTGCACAAACCCTTCTTTCCTTTGCACGCAGTATATAGTCGGAACGAGCCGGGATCGGCCGACTATATCCTATAGCTGCCATATAACTGAATGATCGGAAATGCCATAACTTTGGTGTTTGTAAAGTTAGGAAGTTGAAACTTTCTATGGGTTTTATATTTGGCCAATCAATTCGACCTACCAAATTTCAAAGGGATCGGCCGACTATATCCTATAGCTGCCATATAACTGATTTATCGGAAATGCCATAACTTTGGTGTTTGTGAAGTTAGGAAGTTGGGATTTTCTATGGGTTTTATATTTGACCAATCAATTCGTTATCAGCTTGTTAGAAAAAAAAACAGATGTCTTAGGACCCGTCAATAACACAAAAATAATTCATGGAATTGGATTTTTATCAACACGATCTATTTTTTTGGCAATTTTGGTTTGCTCAAGAAACTGGATTCCACTTAACAAAAACCAGACCGAAAATTGTTATTTTGACTTTTATGTATAAAAACCTACTAATAAGAACTTTAATCGAATTTATATTACCTTTAAATATTTATGGATAGTGCAAAAGAAAAACTTGAATTTTTTTTTTAAATGTTTGAGTAAGTAACCTAATAAAATTGTGTATAACATTTTTTTATGACAGAAATTGGAATTTTAAAAAGAATGTTATCAGTTTGTTAGAAAAAAACAGATGTCTTAGGACCCGTCAATAACACAAAAATAATTCATGGAATTGGATTTTTATCAACACGATCTATTTTTTTGGCAATTTTGGTTTGCTCAAGAAACTGGATTCCACTTAACAAAAACCAGACCGAAAATTGTTATTTTGACTTTTATGTATAAAAACCTACTACCTATTTTTTTTTAATGTAAAACCGTTTTTAAATAAAAATCACGGTAGTCCTTTAGCAATATAAGTGCCAATAACTATTAAATTTGTAGCCTGGAAAAAAAGCACAAAGAAAAACTTGAATTTTTTTTTTAAATGTTAAATGAGTAAGTAACCTAATAAAATTGTGTATAACATTTTTTTATGACAGAAATTGGAATTTTAAAAAGAATGTTATCAGTTTGTTAGAAAAAAAACAGATGTCTTAGGACCCGTCAATAACACAAAAATAATTCATGGAATTGGATTTTTATCAACACGATCTATTTTTTTGGCAATTTTGGTTTGCTCAAGAAACTGGATTCCACTTAACAAAAACCAGACCGAAAATTGTTATTTTGACTTT